CTGTCAGTCTGGTGTACTGCTAGCAGATAGCTTCTTTTAGCACTTTTAATCTTCAGGTTATTGTTTTCACAGTTGCACTGGAAACCAGAGAAAATGTTAATGTTACTAATGATGTCATGGTGTCTCCTCATCAAACTGTATAACAAATACTCTGATGTAACGCGATGTCACAGGAAAGCAGTCAGATACTGTGCAGACAGGTCTACCTGAGGAACACGTGCCCGCTCAGGTAAAAGGCAGCATGTTATTGGTCAGATTAACACTGGTGTCAGTCTTAATGACTTTGAAGTTAAAGGATGGGCTCATATTTTATTTGCAGCCAGTACGGACAACATTATCAACGACACTGAGCAATGACTCACAGACATGTGAGTGCTGTGTTACAGTAGACTTGAGGAAATGTGAACCTATCCTTTAATGGTAAAAGTGGTCTACTACTGGATAAATGTGCTCATTTTCTTAAAACTTTACATTAATTTCTTCTACAGGGTTATTGGGTGATGTAAACATCAGAAGCGCAGCATGTGGTGGCCTTCACATGATAGCCTGGTGGCAGCATTGTCTGTGTCCTCTATGCTTTGTTGGGAACTCTTCCATAGCTTCACCTTCTTGAGCTAGTCTTGGCTGCTGTAGCTCCTCATTGGCTTTCTTTAGTCCTTTGACCTTCAAGTTAGTCTTTTGTAGGAAATTCCATATGGATGTTGCCCACAGCAGCTGACTTTAGTCTAGAAATGAGGACGCACACTATACTTTGGAAATGGCCTCAACAACCAGACACTGGAACCTGGCTTGTTGCAGTTCATGGGAAGTTTTTGTACATCTAGATAGGTTAGAGTGTGATCCCTACTACCTCTTTAAGCTTCTTTATGAGGTCTGAATTCTTTTCTGTCAGTCAGAAGCTTGAAGTCAGAAGTGGAGGACAGTGGAAAACTAGCTTTGACCCTCTGGAAGTCTGTTTGTGGCGTCTGTGAGGACCTTATCATCCCACCACCTGCGGCGCTTTTTGACATCCAGTTAAGATGTTGCTCAGGCTGCATGAGCCTGGCTGACACCGCTTGCAGGATGCATCCTTTTCCTTGTCTCAGGCAATAAAGCTGCTTGGGATTGGAAAGAGGTTAGTCACAGCACACATAAGGAAGTCCAGCATGCCCTGCTCACAGCCCCAGAGCTCCTTCCAGGACTGCAATGGCTCTACTGCTTCAAACCTATCCTCATATTGCATTGGGTGTTAACACCTACTGATTCTATGTGTTAGTCTTCTTTTTAAACTCTCAGCAGCATGAGTTGCCTCTTGACTTTGGCATTGTTAGACCTGACCAATGATTTTCTAGTGTTTCAAATATTCTTCTGCCTCCCTCACTGCTTGAAACAGTAGTGATTATTAAAGGATGGTTTCTTTCTCTTTGGTTTTTGGAGGTTATCTCTGGTTTCATATACTTAATTAGAAATTTAGCACATTTAGAAATGATCAATAGCTAACACGAGCACATTTACAGCATTGGTGTGAATGTCACTACGCTGTTTTTATGTAAATACTTTTGTTGCCATGGCAAGAAAAAAGCACACCAGGCCTCACAGCTAAAAGACTGTATCAGAAAGAGAAACACGAGCAGAAAAAGTCAGTAACCCTCACATTTGGAAATCGTCATCGTCAATATTGAATTTTCTGTGTTTTCAAGTGGTCAGTATTTTAAATGTCTTCCTGCCTCTTCCTGAAGAACTTGAAGCCTCTCAGTCTTCCAGTAACAAACAAACAGTTTATTGTGTGTGTGTGTGTGTGTGTGTGTGTGTGTGTGTGTGTGTGTGTGTGTGTGTGTGTGTGTGTGTGTGTGTGTGTGTGTTTTCTATGCAGTAACTGATCTCACAGCTCAGTAACTTACTTCAGTTCTTGTGTGTCAAATCTGTGTTAATGATGGCTGTCTGACTCTTCTACATCGAATCAGCTGTTCTCAACTGCCTGTCCCATGATGTCATCAGGGTGCAATATTGTACTGATCAGATGCTGCTTTTCTCAGCACTTAAGGCTTGGTAGACTTTACATTCGGGGGCCTGTAGTTGCAACACTGGTATAAATTAAACTGGGATGCACTGTTTAAATGGTGAGCGTGTTTGTGTTTGAGTGTGTGTGCATTCTTGGAATAAATGTTGACTATTTGCTTTCAACAAAAGAGCCCATTTCCATGAACATCAATGTCATGCAAACAGTGAAGTAAATTAAATGTTTAAAGGAGCGGTTCACCCAAACTACTACACACAGGGCTTCTTCTTTTTCTTTTTAAGCATCTCATATATTTGAGATAACTACAAAACATAGTTTGGTGTAGTGTTATATGTGTTATTTGTCAATTTTCGCCAAATATATTTTAAAAGCGCATTCAGGTTTGAAAGTGGGAAGGAAAAACTGGTGACACACACGGTTCAGCTTCGATACATTTAGCCAGCCCTCTTCATTCAAATCCTTCACGGTTGACCTTGAATGGAAATGTTTGAAGTGTGCTCAGAGATGAATGTGAAAGATGTCTCCCTTTATATTCCAGTCTTCCTGCTTTAGAGAACCCTTGTCAGCTTCTTTTTTTAACGAAAATTGTTTATTATGATGTGAATATGCAAATTATATTATGCAACATTTCTCTTATTTTATTCCTGTAAAAAATTGTTTTCATTAAAAACTGCTGTATATCCTACATCAGCCGTGTTTATTCTTTTTGAAGTAAAAGAAGACTTCGATGAAGAAACGCTGTCACACAGACCCTACACAACACTGAATTATGACCAAATGTTTTTGTTATATATACCTATGTTAGTCATGATGCTTTAAAGCAGCACTGTGTAAAACAGTCCTGCTGAAAGCTAACTCACGTGGGTCAGCAGAGTGGTTTTACTCTCCCTGCAGTTTTTTCCAACAGTAGAGTCCATCTGTTTTCTTTTGATTGTGCAACATGAAATCAGATACTTGAACTAAGCTATTTAAAAAACATTTTGACATAGGCATGATCTAATGATCATCAATATGTGCTCGTAGGCACTTTAATTTCCTGCTTTCGTCGCTGATCAAACATAAGTTGTTTTGGCACGTAAACTCAGCGTCAGGTGAATGAAGTCAGGACATCATCCTGAAGTTGCCCTTTCTCACACAGCAGAGATACCACTCTGTTTGGTTTAGGTGAGGGTGCTGCTGGGTACAGCACGTAGGAGGCAGACTAGCTCAAATGCAAATGGATGGACTCTGGTGGGTTAAAGACTGTTCCATCTGAATGCACCTGATCGTTTGAATTTTCATACACTCATCCACTGGGCAATGCCGTTGTCAAAGTTCAGGTCTGGATGTTTGAAAACAGACAACTCAGCCTCTAAAGGTTTATTTTTAAATTTTTATTATTAAAACACCTCCCAAAATCCATTGACAAAACCTGAGTGCTTTCTTTCTAACATTCACTGTCTGATGAACACATCAGATGACAAAAATGTTTGTACAGATATATACAAATATACAAAAAATATAAAATCATGAAGAGGATTTAGTGTCTATTTTCTGAGCTTGGTTTGTCTACATGACAGCAAGGCGTTTAGCCTAGAAGAACTGCCAATTCAGATCCTGGTAGTGGAGCTAGTGTGTGAAACAGACATTCTGCATGAAGCGTCCTAGTGCTTGCTGAACATCTTATCTTCCTCTTCTTTTTTTTAATTTAACAATTTTGTTGATTAACATGTTTGGTTCTTGAGGTTCTCCTGTATCCTGTTGAATCACCCAACCTTGTTCCATAATATGGTGTTGGGACACAGTGACTTCTTTCATCCAAACTTGGGTTTGTGTCCAAACATCTGTCTGGAGACATCTTCCTCTCTACTTTAATGCCCAAACTTCTGAAGGCCATGAGAATGGACCATAAAACCCCTGCACCCAGCTTCCACCAGCAGACACCTGGCTCACCATCCTGTCTACTCACAGCTGGTGATCAGTCCAGTGTCCTTGGAGAGCTTTCTTTCAGCAGCTTTGCACAAGCTCCAGAAACACGGATTGCTCATCTGATTCAGACAGATGAAACCAGACAAAAACGTCTGGTTGCAGGGTGATCAGGGAACTTCAGCTGCTGTTCGAGGTTGACCGATACCTGCCAGGCTCTTGCTGAGGTCAGGATGCCTGGCAGGTATCGGTCATTTGTCACTGTTTGGATTGCTTGTGTTTTCTGATTGCTCCAGCGATGGTCCTCAGGACCTGATAGTCCCTTTGTTGTGTTGGGATGTGTGGGCATCTTGCTTTAGAACAATGAATCCCAGAAGTGTTGAAGAAAACATGTTGAAGATAACAGATGTTCTGTTGCAAATTCAAACTGTGCCACATGTTTCTGAGGTTCATCAATGTTACTGTTCGGTAATATTGCAGGGCATCTATGAAGAACAGCAATCAGCAGCTTTACTGTGGACTGACAAACACCAGAGTCATTAAATCGTTCAACTTCTCTCTTTTTTTTTTTACGTAATATTTACAGTTAATCTTAAAAACAACCTACTCAAAGGGACCATCTGGCACTGTAAGTCATCTGGTTTGATGACAATAGGCGAAACCCTAACCCTGTACTTGGAGACACACAAAAAGTAGCAACAACAAATTACAAATTTGATAAAACATGGTTAGAGTCAGGATCGTCACTGATAATAACCTAGTGCTCAGAGAGTTAATGTAGTGTGTTTTTTTTGTTATTTCAAATTGAATGTCCTGAACCAAAGAACCTGATAAAAAAAACAAAAACAAATGAATAAATTGCAACTGTCTAAATGCTGCACTCGCTCTGCTTAGACCTTTCACCTGTAAAACAGGCACTTTGTCTCTTCCTCAGCTGCCTGCTTTCTCTCTCTCTCTCTCTCTGGTATGATGAGTTGTCATGAGTAGCTTCAATGTGAAGTCAGATTTTTAAGGAGGAGAATGAGAGGAGTAAGAGGTGGAGTTCTTTTTTCTTGCCAGGGATAAAAGTTTTGAAGCAGCAGCGAGCTCCTCCAGAGGGAAGCTGACACTGATACTACACTGACAATAACTCTATCAAGTCAGCCACGATAAATTGCACTCAATGCAGCAGTAGCTGAAGATTTTTTCTCTTTGACGCAACACAAGTGATTTGCACATATTTTAATTTGGCCTCCTTATTGGTATTTTTTTTTACCACTTGTATGCACATTATCGTGACAGTATTAATGTTTTTTTATTCATTTGTGACTGAATTTCTTCAGTGACAATACACTAAAGGCTGAGAAGTAACAAGCAGAGTGAACTAGAATACAACAGAGGCCAGTAAAATGCAGGATTATGAGGCATCCATCTCATTTCTTGGGACGTGGGGCCGGTTTCAGATGAAAGTCTTCTTTTTGCTGTGTGTCACCTGTCTTCCTGCCGGGTACAACATCCTGTCTGTCATCTTTCTGCTGGCTACCCCCCCACACCAGTGTTACATCCCAGCACACAGGAACCTGAGCCAGGACTGGATGCAGGCCAGCATCCCACTGCAGGTAAGAACTGAATGATTCTGGATGTAATTCACAGAGTAGTCAAAAACAATCACTCATTCACACACAATCTTTATAGTCATCTGTGTCATTTCTGTCAGTGCAGATTAATTTTACCTGTTTACACAGTTGTTGTGGGTCTGATGGTTGCTGCTAACAAACATGACAAAAGCCCTTTATTCTGCCCACTGCTCCTCTGCTGTTTGCAGCTGTAGTTGAATTACTTTGTTGTAATATAAGCGTGAGAGAGCCTCGCACTAAAACAGTCAGCTCACCTAAATCTGCAACAAGATATCCAAGTCATTTACCCCTGCTGGTCTCTTGCACTGCACAAGCTCATGACGGTTACTTTGTCAGTAACATGTTGTCCTCACGTTTGTTCATTTTTCTTCAACTCCCACACACATATCAGCACAGAGGAGGTAAAGTAACTATTGTTCGCAAAGCAGTGAAACTGATATTTAAGAAGCTACATATGCAAGATTTCGTTCTCAGCTGTTCTCAATGAAAACTGTTATCAGCAATGAGACAAGGGTGGACGGAGCGCTCAGATCTCTCACAGTAAAACAATGAAAAACTACAGCAGGGGCGTGCGGCTGCTGTTGCTGTTATGTCACACCAGACAATAATTGAAATTGTGCTGATGCATAAATGTAGAGGAAAGAAAATAATAACAATTTAACAATAAAAGTTTAAGCATTCACATTGTGTGTGTGTGTATGTCCTTGGTCGGTAGTTGGAGGGGACCGGTCCCTTCTTGGGGTCCTTGGGGATCAGGACCGTCCGACCTTCGGTTAGCCATTCCGGGTGTCTCTCGTTAACTAGCAGCTGGTTCATTTGTGCTGCCAGACGCTCGTGGAGTGCAGTCAGCTTCTTTAGCCAGTAGGCGTGAACCATGTCGGGCCCTGGTGCTGTCCAACTCTTCATACTGGAGACCCTTTCTTGGATATCTGCCACTGTGATGGTTACTGGACCCTGTTCAGGGAGGTCGCTGTGGTCTGCCCTCAGATCCACTAGCCACTGAGCATTGCCGTTATGGGTTGCGTCCTTCTCCCATATGCTCTTCCAGTATTGCTCCGTCTCCAGCCTTGGTGGTGCTGTTCTCTTATTATTGTTCCCTTGCCACTGAGAGTACACCTTTGCTGGTTCTGTGGAGAACAGCTGGTTTATTCTCCTGCCTTCTATCTCTCTGGTGTACCTCCTCAAGCGGCTGGCCAAGGCTGTGAGTCTTTGCTTGGCAGTTTCCAAGGCCTCAGGTATGGACAGCTTGCTGTATTTCTTATGCACCTTCTTTGTCGCACCTTTCTGCAACTCCGTTAGTTGGCTAACCTCCCTCCGTGCTACTTTGATCTTGCCCTCTAGCCTCCTTCTCCATGGAGGGTACTGCCCCTTGTGGCTGTTCAACTTGTAGTCAAGCATCTCATGATTGATCTACGTATAGAAGGCCTTGATACTCGTAATTGTGGCTGTAGGTATGTCCGAGATGTGATGTGGAGGGTGAAGGTAACGGTGGTCCCCGTGGTAATCGGAGCACTAGGTGCGGTGACTCCCAAGCTAGGCGAGTGGCTCCAGCAGATCCCGGGAATAACATCGGAGATCTCTGTCCAGAAGAGCGCAGTCCTGGGAACAGCTAAGATACTGCGCAGGACCCTCAAGCTCCCAGGCCTCTGGTAGAGGACCCGAGCTTGAAGGATAAACCGCCCGCAGGGGCGTGCTGGGTGTTTTTTATATATATATATATATATA